GTTCACTAAAATGGAAGATAACAGAAAAGTTTTAATGGAAAAACATAATGTAAGACTCAAACGAATTGAATACCTAGATAAAATATGCAATTTTTGCAATGAAGGAAGAAATATAATTTATATGGATGAGTCTTACATACATACATCCCACATAAAAGGCAAAAGTTGGATTGATGATAAAAAAATAGGAGTAAAGAAGCCAATTTCAAAGGGTCAACGGTTGATAATAGTTCATGCAGGCAACGAAAAAGGTTTTGTTCCCGGAACTTTTTTAACATATAAATCCACAGATACAGTTTGTCTATAAAGTCGTGACATTAAATAATGGCGCCACTAGTATGCATGTAGCAACCCTATACAGTCGGACCAAAATGATTTTGATACTAGCAGTTCATTCAAGTAAAATAGGTAATTAATAAGATACACTATACAGTCGTATTTTGTTTCTGTTTTATATATAGTAGGTACCTATGCTTATAAAAAGTTTAGCCAAGCATATTTTATTGAATCAGAATAAAATTATTATAGATAAAATAGTACTTTATAGTGTAAAAGTGTGTAATGTTGGTAATTACCGCTGAGGTGCCATTGAGACCAGAGCCGTTAGGTAATCATCAATACACACAAGTATCATCAAACGACGTTTTTTAACACACTTGTTAAGAAAATAATACTAAAACTCATTTTATAGTATATAAAAAGTTTATTTAGAAAAACAATTTGTAAATGTGCAGTTAGTAAAATTAGCGATAGGTATCTTCACTAAAAGCATCTGGCCATGGTTCTTTATGTGACCATTTCTTTCTTTGGTCGGTCTTAATAAATACCATTTCATGTGTATAATCTATGGCAGCGCTGCCAACAAAACACTCTTTCTTCCTATTGCCGGCACTTCACTTGGCTATTCGTATTTGCTATTTTAAAACATGACATCAGTCTGTCCTTTTCATTCCTTATTAAGCATGACAAGGACAAACTGTTGTCAAGTGAAGGGCCGGCATAAAATTCGTTACTCTGTGGTTGCGGTGCATGCAGTTTGCATTCGTAGTAATCTGTGGCATTCGTGCATTCCAAAGAGTAGTATAATAAACCGGAAAGTGCATTCCCGTTCGGATTACCTGTTGTGTGTGTTTATTTGCGATTGTTTTTCCTTTAATTTAACTATTTCGGCTATATAATATGCCATCGATGTTACCAAAGAGCAGAGCCCTTATTACCTACCTTAAGAGCTAGTGAACCTGTGCCACAACATCCTGAGAGGATCATACTGCCAAATTATTCAAGAATAACTGATACACATTCACGCTGCATATTTACACAATATACCTACATGTGATACACAAATAAGTACAATAAACAATATGATACAATTATGTGAAAAATAGTCAATAAATAAGAAGCAAAACTACAGTTTTTATTTTATTCATGATTCCCACCTAACCAAGTTTTTCCTAATAGTTATTCTTTAAAATCGCACCGAATAAAATGAATTAGTTGTAATATTAATTCACTTCATACTGAGTTTAAACTAAATTCATAGGTTGACCTATGTTACATTGAATATTAAACATAACCTCAAAAAAATTTTAGTTTTCCTAATAATGTAAGTTCTCAGAAGTGTCCGTCAATAATCTTTCATTTTTACAGTCATTTACTTACGATTTCGAACCTAGAAAGTAATATTTCATGATTGTTGGTTCTTAGGCTAACTATGTTTGGACGCTGAACAATGTCCTTTGTAACTTCAGGCAGATTACAAAGAAATAGTTACACGATTACATACCCGTCATAGATGCTGTTCGCCCATAAACATCGTCCAAATCCCACAAAATTCGACGAGCTTGGTAGTCTTCGAAACATCGCTGGAAAACTTTAAAAATCACTTCCCGCGTGCCACTCCGATTTACTTTACTCATTTTTATACCTTTCTGCGTAGTTTCGTCTTAATTTATTACAGTTTAATCCAAACAATAAAAAATACAAAAGGAAAACTGTTCCACAACTGAAACTCGATGACAGCTGATGTACATAAGTTTGGTGTTGCCAGACACATGAATAATGTTAGTTCCTCAAACATTAATGTCACGACTTTATAGACAAACTGTACCACAGGTGATTACCACAGAGAGATAAATAATGAAAATTATGAGAAATGGCTGCTTAATTAATTAATACAAAATATACCAAATAACTCCGTTCTGGTTATCGACAACGCAACTTATCATAACAAATATGTAGAGAGAACCCCAAATTACAACACTATAAAACAGCAAATGATAAACTGGTTAAACACACATAACATTCCAGTTGATCCAAATTTGACGAAACCACAGATTTATGCTATTATATGTCGCCACAAGGAAAATTTTACAGTTTTCCGTAGGCAAAATACTTGCAGAACATGGGCACACTACGTTGCGATTTCCGCCATATCACCCGGATTTAAATCCTATTGGAAATATATGATCTCAGTTAAAAGGCTATGTAGCCGCTAGAAATGTGGATATGAATTTGAATTCGGTGAAAAATTTATTGACTGAAAAAGTAAACATGATTGGAGCTCTCAACTCAGAGTGGAAGTTTGTGAACACGCAATAAAATGTGAAAACGAATATCGAAGAACTGAACATCATTTAGACAATTATACTGATTGGCTAGTGATAAATACGGGCGATAGTGACAGCAATGACGAGGTTGAGAGCTCACATAGTATGGAAGGAATTGAGAATTTAGAATCTCATTAGTAAAATGACACGGAGAGGCTTCGCATATCTATTAGTTTTTTGTATTTTGTTATTTGGTTGGAAATAAAAATTATAGTTTTTCATTAAAATAAATAAATTAACATAAATAGTACATATTATGTTGTCTTTTACCTACATGTTTTTTTTGTATTTTTGATTTATAAAAAAAACAAAAAAGTTTTAGCAGCTCTTAATACATACCGGACTGTTAGTGTTACGTGTGACAGAAATGACGCTCTACAAAGCCGTAGGTAGCCTAAAGCACGATTCGACTTATAAATGGCCTGGTACTGTACACATGGTTTCTTTAGATAAGGGGCCGTCCATTAATCACGTGATGTTTTTTTACATTTTTTAACCCCCTCCTCCCGCTTGGTGATACATGGTGAGATTTAAGACTAAACCCTCCCCTCGGCCCCTTTATTGTGTATTTTTTAGTACTTACAAAGAACCTTTCTTTTAATATTTATAAATACAGGTATAACTATTATCTAATTTTATTATAGAAAATTAAAGACTACAATAATTACGCTGAGAGGTAGACAGAAAAGTTACAGGTTGTTTTTGACTGACTTAAAAATAATGAATGAAATGCAAAAAACTTTTTTGGACTAATACATGAACATTATTTAATATAAAGTATCCTCGGACCACGAAAATACACGTGATATATAACTACGCGTTTTGGAATATGGGGGTTGGCGTGAGGACATCAAAGAGACCGAACTGGACAAAAGAACGCGTGTGTCCCCGAAAAATAAAACTTCAAAATCACATCTAGGCGCAGCAACGCAGACAGCAAAATTGAGTCCGCGTTGCGCGCTCGATCCGACTTCAAGAGTTGGACTCAGTATTCCCTTTTCAAACGTCCTCCCTTTTTTTTAAAAAATCATGTAAATTACATTAAAATACAACGTTATCTCAGAGCATTTACTTCCATAGCGTGCGGTTCTCTAAATTTCCGGCAACAAATGTTGGTACACCGTGTGCGTTGAGTACGTGACATGTCTTGACGATTGAGGGACTTTTGTTCTCAGCGGACGAAAGTTCTTCGTCTGCCCGGGTCATAACAGACATAAAGACAATTTTTAGTTTGTTTTATTAAAGGGCAATGGGCAAAAAAACTTCCAGCTCCGCCAACAATGTAATTAGTATGCATCGAAAGAGCTATGAAAAATTAGCCTTTTTTATTATTACACCGTAAAAAAATATCCTGGTAATTGACAGATATGACACATGGGCATATTTAATTAGCTAAATCAATTAATTTAATAGTACCTTCATTTTATATTATCAGTAACCATAATAATGTGCTATATCGTAATGAATAACCAGATATACGACAAAGCCTGCCGACTATCATGCACTTGCACTTACTGAGACACCCCAAAACGGTTTACGGGGATTGAAGGACTTGCAGTTGCAACAAGTCGACCCATATGCAGTCTCTCGTCTTACTTCGTTGTGCACTTGATTGGTTTTTAATTAACACGCTTTGGACATTGGAATATTTTTATCAGTTTTGTTAATTAGTATGGATGAACTGGAATCATGTTTTCTCCGAGGCGTGGACAAGTTTGTGTAATTTTTAGTCTCTCCGTTTTACGTTTCTACGTATTCTTTCTATATTATAAAATATTGTCTTCTGACAATTTACTATAACGAAGAGATTGTATGAAAAAACCCAACCCAAACGGGTATTTTTGAATTTACTCTAGTGCGGCAGAATAACATAAGGGGGCAACTTGCACCCTCTAAAGTACCCTGATATAACCTGAGCCCTCTATGTAAGATCGAACTAACTAAATAATGTTCGTTCGTTATTGTACTTGTACCTATTTAACTTAAAATAACTAAAGATTCCATTCCATCCCGGGGGGGATGGAATTTGATGCGCTTTGGCACAGATGATCATGACTATAATACCTTTCAAACAAATGTAGTTTAAGGCGTGGCCGACGTGGGTGCAGCATCCATACATTTTTGCCCAATATCCTTTAACTGTCACTCTATGTGATAGTAAAATGATAAGACAACATCTCAATCTGATAAGCATTACATTTAAATAACGTTCCTGAGTGTGGCAATCAGGGTGTTAACATAAAGCCGACTTAAGATAAGTGTTATACTTATCGGTACAACGTTGGAAAAATACTCACGTTTGTTACACATACAGTTGAAACGTCGTTCATTACATTATTAACCAATGACAATTGTTATGTATATGTATTATATTATTATGGCAAATGATCATACCAAAGATTGCAGTATTTAACTGATACACGAAATATATCTCAAAAGAGTGCACTACTCTTCCAAGAATATTTGATATCACAATAGACCTAGTTGCCGCAACTGAAAAAAAAATGTTACAAATATAATAATACATTTTTTTATTATTTACATCTATTAAAGGCAATTCTTACGAAACTTCATAATTCTTTAAAAGTAGTTTTATAATTATTTAATTTACTTCAATAGATATCTAACTATTGACGAACACATCCAATAAAGCTTCGTGGCATTAAATATTATATGAAGGTACCTAGCAAAACTGATACATATGTTTTATTTTATAAGCATTTAGTTGCTAGATGTTTAAAAATCTAATAGCAGAGTCCCGTCTGTCTTTAGATTAAACCTGATAGTTTGAAACAATTTATTCTTGATAAGACGCTTCATGCTATGGCCGGTGTAACTCGGGTGACTCAAATAGCGATATTTAAAGTACCTATGTTTTAATTAAGAATTTTAAAATTATATGTCTATATGTCTGCGTGTCAAATTTCAACCAAAAAAGTTCAGTGGTTTGAACTCTGTTAATAGATCAGTCAGTGAATAGCCCTTTTTTATAAGTATATGCACAATTTCATACATGTGTATTTGTACTGATAGAATTCGTAAGAAAACATATCAAAAGTATAAGTTTCTGTTTGATCTTTTACTATTAAATGTTATAAGAAGTGAGTACTTACAAGTCCTTGCCTTTCCTTTTCCTTCTGTAGAATGTTTTGTGTTTGTTTGTCGTCAAATTTCACTACTGCTGCTAAAACTTTAGCCAATGTTATGGAATGTGTACCAGAGCCCGTAAGATACTCATAAAGAATATTACGTAAATATTCCAACTCCGTATTTTCTTGCAAAGAGTGTAAATGTCTCAAGCTTACTAAAGCTTCATCTAGTCTGCGTTCTAGTTTTTCATTAGTAAGTCTAAGTTTCTCGTTGTTGTTCTGTAATTGTTGCATATTTCCATTCACAGATTTATTTATTTGTTCTAGATTTATAAATTTCTCTTCTATATTATTTTTACTAGTTAATAAGTTATTATATTTCTCTATTGTAACGGAATTATTTTCTTGTATGTCGGACGATTGTTTTGGTTCGGTGAAATTTTGAGATTGTAATTGATCTTTCAATTCGAGATTTTCTTCAACCAATAGAGTGTTTTCTCTTATTAAATCATCAATTTTTTCTTTGCATTCTACAAGTTCATTTTTGGATTCTACAAATTCATTATCTATTGAGTTCATATTGCTTTTTCCAAAGGAGTTTTCACTCGTGGCTATTAATTCCCGCATTTTATCGTTTAAAACGCAATTTTCTTTTGAAATTTTTGCTAAATACGTTTGGAGACCTTCAATATCAGACTGTAATCGTCTATTGTCTTCTTTAAGTGAATCATATTTGTTAGAAATTGTTAGATATTTTTCTGTCATATTGTCTTCAGTTTTCTCACCATTGTTATTCATGTTACTATTGAGCTCCTTTAGTTTGATTGTTAAAGACACGTTATTATCCTTAAGCAATCTGTTTTCTTCTTCATATTCTGCATTTTTTGTACTAAGTGCTTCAGCAGTACTCAGTAGAGATAAAATATAATCATTATTTTTGGCTTCTGCAGTTTCATTTTGTTCCACTGAAAAAGCTGCTTCATTATCAAATTTAATATTTTCAGATTCAGAAACAATTTGGGTTTGAGTATCTTTGTTCTCCAAAGAAAGTTTGATTTGCTGCTGTTCTCTCTTTTCTAAGTCTTCTATTATAGAGCTGAGGCGATCTTTTTCAGCTTCGATATTAGTATGCGATTTACGAACTTCGTTGATTTCTAGTTCTAGTTCTTTAAGACTATTAGCAATGCTTTCAGATTGATCTTTTAAAATTCCATTTTCATGCAAGAGTATTTGCACTTTTTGTTCCAGTTTTTGGATAGTAGATTTATTTTCAATAGATTTTTCATTGAATGAAAGTTTTTCGGTATTTAGCATTTCAATGCGTGCAATATCATCTTTGTGCACTAACTTTAATTTCTCAACTTCAATGTTTATTAATTCATTTTCCTTTTCAAGATTATTCAATCTTTTTTGGAGTGTCTGTTTCTCATCTTCAAGTAATTTTAATTTATCTAAAGCCGTTAAATATTGGCTCTTATCATGGTCTATGCTATTTTGAAGCCGATTACATAAGGTTTCCACTTCCTGAAGTTTACTCATTAGTTGTTCTTTTTCGTGTTTTAATTTACCTAATTCATCTGTACAATGAACATTCTTGTTGGAAAGAGTAAGTTTGTCTTCTTCCAGTGAAGAAATTTTCGAGTCGTAACTAGGAATCAATGTATTTAATTTGTCATTATCGTCTTTCAATGTATTCATATTTTGAACTACAGTTTTATACATTTCCTTGGCATTAAGTAATTCTTCTTTCAGTTTCATGTTGTCTTTTTCTAAGTTATCATATCTATCTTTACTATTGCCATACACTTCCGAAACGGAACTTAATTCAACAATTTGAGATTTAATTTGGGTTATCATTACTTCACTTACTTCATCCTTCAAGGACTTGACAGTATCAGTTATAAAGTTCATGTCTTTATGTAAAAGCTTTACTTCATTGATTAGCTGTTTAGACTGTTTTTTGATAAAATTAAATTTTTGCCGTAGGCAATCATTTTCAGACCTTGTCTCTGACAAAATGATGAGTAACTCAGAATTTTTATTTTGCACCGATTCATGATTTGCAAGAAGCTTTTCAATTTCAGTTTGTAACTTTATTAATTCTTCTCTTTCTTCTTGAATTTCACCTTCCAAATAACTATACTTAGCTTTCCATAATTCCACTTCATCACATTGTTGTTTAGAATCTTTTTCTATCTTAATAATTTTTTGTAATTCCATTTCTAAATGACGAATATGATTACTTTTTTTAGAATTTTCGTCCGATAATTGAGTTATGCGATTCTCTAAATAAGTGTTCCTGTCTATCATTGCCAGCTTTTCTGCAGTTTCTTGATTCATTTGCAATTGAAGACACTTATATTCCTCGTCTACTTTTGTCTTTAACAGTTCATGTGATTGGCATTTTTGAGTTAATATCTGAAATTGACTTTCTATTTCTTTTAGTTTAGAGTTATTTGTGTTCAATTCCTTAACTTCATTATTTAACTTAGATCGCTCTTCTTCTAAATTGGCTATACTTGTTTTATAATCATTAGCAATAATATTCAGTGATTGTAGTTCTTTTTTAGTTTCAGTCAAACTATCTTTTAATCGTTTAATTTCTGCTTCTTTACCTTCCAACTCCTTATGAATGCTTAACTTATTTTCTGCTAACGAGATGGCATATTCTTCTTCTCTTTTACTAAAAACTTCTATCTTACTTTGCAGTTGTCCTATTTCTTCCTGAGATTTTTGTAAGTCCAATTCGAGAGTGGAAATTTCTCTCGATTTGCTAAAGTCATACGAATTAATTTTATTTTGCAATTCTTCGTTGATTACATTCAGTTCTTGTATTTTCTGATTAGCTTCGGATATTTGTGCCACACTCGCAGTAAGAGTTTCAATTTCTTTCTGTTTATTGTCAAGTTCTGTAGATAATATTTTGAGTTCAGTCGTTAAATGTGCATTTTTTTCCTTAATTGACTTAAGTGACTCTTTATATTTATTTATTAATTGTTCCATTTTTTCTATTTTATTATTTAAAACTACTTCATTTGAAGACAACTCTGTTTCTTGCTGTACCGTGTTATCTGCAGATAAATTAATTAACTGGACATCATTTTCAATATCAATAGGATCTAGGTTAGACGGTTTAATTTCTGCACCACCTTCACTCATATTTTGAAGTAAAGTTATCTTTGTCGAAAGTGCTTCTATTTTTAAAGTTTTTTCTTCAATTTCGATGCGTAATGCTTTTTCTAAATGTGCCTGGAAAAAAAGGTATAGTGTTGGTAAGTAAGTAGTATCCAAAAAAACTTTTCTATTTTTATTTAAGTACATTTTTTTAACATATCGATATTAACGGGATTGTTACCATGTAACTGAGTTACTCCGTGATCATGGCGCTTGCAACAGTGCCGAAATATCGGAGAGTCATAAAAAACAAGGTACATGGTAACAATCCCGTTAATATCTATAATGTTAGTGACCATGAAAGTTTAAAACAATATATTTTTTTAACATACCTTTGCGCTTTGTTCGAGAGTGCACTGTTCTCTTAGCTCAGAAATTCTTCTTAAAGCTTTATCTTGAGTTTCTACAAGTACACTCTGTAAAAATATATTTATATAAGAACTAAAACCACAATAATAACGATTGATAATTATTTTTAAGAATAACACAACAAACTATTCAAATGAGTAAGTACTAAATAATATAACAAACATGTGATGTTGTTAAGCAGTTATCTTGGTCAGTAATTTTCAGCGAAACGGTTAGATGATGAATTATTCTAGTTAAATTAACTGTCGACCTAGCCATCAAATTAGATGCCGGCGTTTAATGAAAGTTATGGGCAGTCAATAATCTGGATAATTCAACCAGACAGACGGCTGCGATATTACTATAGTGCTATCTAGTTTGAATGTGTGTGTATGTCTTTCTAAATAGGGTATTTGACAAGTTTTAGAAAACAATCTCAAGTTATGTACTAATGTTTATGGAGTCGAAAAGAGTATACATATCATCAGTGACGTCTTTGACCTATTCGAGGCTTTGTACACATTAGGATAATGGGGCCCCTACGGAGCACAGGCCTTCCCTAGGGATGGAATAGGGAGATTGGATCATGACCCACCACGCGGGCCCAGTGCGGATTGGCGGGTGCTAACGACTGCGGATGCAGCCGAGACCAACGGCTTAACGTGCCTTCCGTAGCACGGAGGAACTCAAGATTGAAGATTTTTGGTCACCCATCCAATGACCGACCAAAACTGCGAAAGTTGCTTAACTTCAACGATCGCAGCCGAACGCGCTAACCATCTGCGCTATCGGGCTCCTCCAGGGAAGGCCTGTGCCTCAGCAGTGGGGACATTAATAGGCTGATGATGATGTATGATGGGGCCCCTACGACCCCCGTTTGGTGATCTAACAGCAACTAGGGACTTTGTATTTGATCTGAAGTGGGCCCCTATCGATCGCATGGCTCTGGGCACTTGCCCAAAGTGGCCACTGGGAAAGCACACATCATTCTGTTGTGTATTTCAGTAAAAAAATCTAAATCAAAAATTGTTAGTTATAGCGACTACCTACCTAGTCACGACAAATCCCTAAATATTTTTTATACATTTAAAGTTAATTAACAAAATGTTGATAAATAAACTTACTCTTGCTTTTGCATTTTCTCTCTCTAAGAGTTTATAATGGCGGGCAAGGTCTGCGTATTGAGTTCTATACTTTGTATACCGATCTTGTGTACGGCGGTATGCGGCATATAATTGTTCTTTTGTAACACGATCAAGACTTACTGTTCCTGAAGATATAACTCTTTCTTCAGCTTCACTTGCTGACACTTCCATATCTGACTAAAATACAAAATTAATTTTTGAATATTTTGCTAATGACTAAGTAATACCTATAAATATCACAAAAATAAATAAGAACCAACCTGTAGATGATACATTGATGGACTTTCATAACTGGGAAGTCTAAATGATACATCACTTGCGAATGAGCTATTTGAGAGTCGCCTTTTCCTTTGATTATCCTGAAATAATAAAAAGTTTTATTGTTATTGAATTTTCGTTTTTTTTGAATAGGGATTGCAATCCAGCAAGATCCGGCGTGGTTTCGGTCTCTCGCGACAGAAGAAAAATAACCATTCATTAGGGTCAACGCAAATGGGGCAGAGAGGTTTATATGCCCGCGCGTTTGCTTGATCAATATAGATATCGATCCCATTTGTTTAATCGCTATGTGCAGGCTGCCCCACCCCGCCTTTTTAGTAAATTTAAATCATATGATGCTTTTTTGCAGGACCGGATTAAAGTAAGGGCAGGCGGGTCTGCCCCGAGAACCCCACAACAGAGTTATAAAACTTTCGAAAGGTCACGAACCAGGCCGTACAATTCTTGTTAACGACGACTCACCCCGGCCCGTTGTTTTTTTTAAGCGGGCGAAGGGTTTTTGATCATTTACCGGACATATGCCCGGGCGGTGCGCCCGCTGCAAGTTTAAGACGACGCACGTTTTTCGATCTCGTATTTTTAAATAGGTACCGAGTGAGTGCGGATTTGTACATAATCATGGAGGATGAGCATGATATAGATATAGAATAACTGATTAGTTTTATTTCGAATATACCATAAATAAATTATCTTTTTAATAAAATTGTCCGCGTTTTTTTTGTTGCTTGAGTATAAATAATACGCTAGGATTTAAAAGCCCATTACAGAGTTTTCTTATTCTTAATCTGCATTATTAACCGCTATTTAACGAAGAGGGAAGCACCTCCGTTGTTTTAAAGGTGTGGTCGTGACCAAGGGCAACTATTTCACCCGGTAAAAAAAAGTCCTTTTAAGGCATCATACTTTATATTGAATTCTTAAAAAAAATAAAGCCTATATGGAATCCAGGATCCGACTGAATTAAATCCAGCAAATAATCCGTTGGATTAAAAATGATGCTGTATTACAATCCTCAGGGCAGGACAGATTTATAGGTGTGGACGCCCTGACCCAACAAAGGATTGGGCGCACCTATTTGTTTTAAATCTGGCACCACGGACTTCCAATTTGCATCCCAACCCTGCCCCTGGTTGGTGAGCCGTCGAAATTTAGTTTTATTTTATCTCTGTTGGGGGGACTCTTTCTTGTGGTAGTTCCCTGAGCCACAACCTTTCAAAAGTTTTTGCCTGCCTTACCTTAAATCCGGCCCTGACAATGCCCACTGCCGAACATCACTTACTAAAGTGAACAAAAGCAACCTGAAGGCTCATAGATTTTGCTGTCTGCTCACAGCTTTTTGGCCATCTTCGAAACTAAGGTTGTAAGGAGATTTTTCTTATTTTTCAAATGTTTTCAAATAAGCAATTTTTTTCCTTATTTGATAACCACTTGCGAAACTTAGTTTCTAAAACGGCGAAAGGGGCACAAAAGCTTGTTTTTAAATATGAACAAAGGTAGTTTTGAATTTTTTTAATCAGTGAACTGTAATAAGTATTTGATTTTTATATAGGTATTAGGCATATAATACTACCGGACACAGAGACATGCTTTATAAGCATTAACAAGACGTTTATTATTTTATATCACAAAGAAAGTGATAGAAATAAAAACAAACAAAGAAATCAATGTACAACTTTGGTTGGCAACTAGTTAAGATTAAACTCTTATTTGTCAAAGTAAAGTTTAATTGACCCACAACTCCTACTTACATTTTTGTAACACAGGTGTCAAAAAATATCTTACCATTTCATGACCAGATAAGAAGTCTACCGAGTCTGACTCACTGAGAGCTGCTGTTTGAGGAAGTGACACTTCATGGAATGAACCTGACAGATTGTTAGATGTTGAAGGTTTCATTGTCCGACTTGACTGGCTATCTATATTAAAGCAACCATCAAAAATATTTTATTAAATAAATAAAATAAATATTTTTTAAATAAATAATAATTATTAACATATTTAGTTAATTGGTCAAAGTTAATAGAATAACTTGCCAAGTTAAAAGAAATAAACTTCTTCATTTGTATATGTCACAAATTAGTAATAGGGATGATGACCAACTTTTTTTTGCATATTAGGTACAGTTAACAATATTAAATACACTAGATACACCAACACAAACAAAATCGTGCCCGAAATCTGGCCAAAAGGTACATTGGACGATTCACAGAAAAAGATAAGATATATAGAACCGACTATGCCTTTTAATATCATAAATATTTTCTAATAAATCATTCTTAGGAATAACAGCCGCTACGTCACTGTGACGACTGATCACGTGACCTGTCATCGGGCTTGGCGGGAAACTGCTATGAGAGAGGGGCCGTTTGTGCGGGACTTCACTTTTGCTCGAGCGTTCGGAGGCGACGGACGTTCTTGGGATCGATACTTAGGGCTATCTATAAATTCAATTATTTAATGTGTAATTAATTAAAATCATAAAGTTTATGCCATTGCCGTTCTTTTTTTTAAAAAAACCAATTTCACTTCTGGTTCATTAGATCAGTTTATAGTTAGCATTAGAACAAAATTTGCTTCAAATGCCTTAAATTAACTAACATTGATTAGATACCTGTTGAAAAACAACACTAAATTATTATATGTAAAGTATTTTAATCTTATTTTTTCACAGAGGTCTGTGGCAACTTGACTTTTCAATGGTCCGCATGTGACTGTTAACCAAGAAGTGCTTGAGTGGCGTTCAAGCATTTCTTGATTGGGACAAATTTTGAGCCACATGGTGTAGCTAGGGTATTTAATATCATTGAGTAGAGTATCAAAAAGTATTGGACACATATTTTTTCACATAATCAAAATATTACTGAGATAAATTGATTTGAAATGTTGCAAGACATCACGTCTTGGTACAACTTTTACTAAGACATGATGTCACTAGCCCCTCACTCCCAAACTTTGATGCACTTTATCTTTGTAATTTTTTGGTCAATTGTATAAATAAAAAATGTGTCCAGTATTTTTTGATAAAGTAACTGATGGTCTAAATAGAATTATGTTATTTTACCCTGTCATCACTCCTATTAAAATATACTAGCAAACCAGTGAACCAAATGTTCACCAAAACCTGATTTCTCGAAAACCGGAAGTGCTACGTTACTCAAATCCGGATTGTAGTCTTATCAGACTATTCTTAACTTATAACTAAAATATTCTCTTTATCTATCTCTTACAGTTTGGCCGCTGAAACAGCACCACAGACAGACGGACGGACTTGTCTAATAGATAAGAGATGCTTAATTTGTCACATATTAAATACCCCACTTAATACCCAATAGTATAGATAAACGTCTGTAAACATTTGGTTTAAAAAAGAATAAAAATAAAATAAAACATCAAAATATCTAGAAAAAGCATATTACAGGTTCACCAATAACAACACAAGATGAGGCATGGCTCAGTTTTCCATTATATGTAATTGAGTTGCAAGCTGAAATTTTTGTCACGCAAAGTATTAACTATTAAAAACACGTACACGAAATCTTTTTAGGCGGAAACAAATAGAACTCGAGAAAAAAAATTTTGAAAATTAATATTTTTGTAGGTTATGAGTCAATTTTGACAGCAATTTTGATCAGTGCTGCCATTTTTTTATGCAAAAATAACATGTTTCTCGCTGTCTATGGTAAATATAAGTTTATTATGTTGGTACTATTGTCAAAATGTGACCTGTTAATTAATGAGATCTGTCAGTCAGTGTTTGTGTTCGTCGCAGTTGAGAGCTTTTTCGTACTCCTGTTGATATTAACATCGTCTGACTACCATGGCATCCTCAAAGCCTTCGGCCTCGAGTTCAGCTGTCCCTTCGCCTGAAGAGTCGAGTGTAGTGCGAGTTTTGAACTAATGAGCCGCTTGTGTGGTGATACTTCACACTAGGTTAGGTTAGTGTTGTGACGAAAGCGAGCGAAGCGAGCGTGCCGCGACAGCGCACGGTGGAATATGGTAGAACAAACGCATATCAAAATTGATTTTTATTACTGATTGAAATTGGGTAATATATGAATATAATTTAATAGTTCAAAAGTCGAAGTTTAATATTCTGCAGCGTAATTCCTATTTTATTTCGTAAAAGTATTTTTTTTCATGTAGCAAAGTTAAACGTTTAGGCAGCTGGGAAATATTAAGTTCTTCATTTATGTTTTTCAACGTGAAATAGTTTTAAAACTTGAAATGAAAGGTATAAGGTATTATATATTTTTGAAAAGCACATTTATCAGAGGTTATAAATAAATACAATTGATTGTTTTTAATACGAATATAAATTTAAAAACCAATTTAAAGAAAAAATGGAGAAATATTTTTTTTTCCTCAACTTCGTCGAATCTTTTAACATTTAGAGTTGTTTACTGATGCTTTGAATTTAATGTTAAATTATAGGTTAGTTACTCATCTAAAACATATAAAAAAATTAGCTGCGGCTTTTTGCGGTTTTCGGAGATATGTAAAAAAATCGATTACTAGTCTGGGAACGAAAATCGCTATCAAATGCGGTTTCGTAGTTTACTTTTATTATCAATAGTTTGAGGTACATTTTTGCCGTGTGTGTGCCGGCCTAGAATAGCACCACCCCTCTCGTCCCGTGGGTGTCGTAAAAGGCGACTAAGGGAACACAGCCAGCAGAAGACGGGCAGCAGCGTCTTGTTACAATATCTTGGCTGTACTGCGATCGCCAACCCGCCTGCCAAGCGTGGCGATTATGGCAAAACCCCCCCAAGAAATGAGTAGCACAATTAAAGATTGGCCCCCCGTCCCCGGCAGCCCTGCTATTCCTAGCCACGGTAGCAGCTATGGTAACGGCGGGGCAAGGGGTGCTAAGAATCCCCGGGTAAGATCCGGCTACCACCTACGACGACTCGACCTGGCAACCTACAACACGCGCACACTGAGGACCGATGCTAAGCTAATAGAGTTGGAAGAAGCTATTAGTAAGTTACGTTGGGATATTATTGGATTATCTGAAGTCCGAAGAGAGGGAGAGGACTCGATAATCCTCAATTCCGGTAACTTGCTATACTACCGGGAGGGCGATCAACAGTCCCTAGGCGGTGTCGGGTTTATCGTCCACAAGTCCCTTGTCCACAACGTCATCACCATCGGAAGTGTGTCGACCAGGGTAGCATACCTGATACTCAGAATATCTAAACGATATTCGTTGAATGTCATTCAGGTTTATGCGCCGACCTCGACGCACCCAGATGACGAAGTGGAAGCTATGTATGAGGAGATCACTAAAGCCATGCATAGCTACAAAACACACTACACGGTTGTGATGGGGGACTTTAACGCAAGGTTGGGGAAGCGTTGCGGTCATGAGTTGAGAGTGGGGCAATTTGGAGTTGGACAACGGAACGCCAGAGGACAGATGTTAGTAGATTTTATGGAGAAGGAGAACCTCTATATGATGAACTCCTTCTTCAGGAAACCCCAAAATCGAAAATGGACCTGGATGAGTCCGGACGGTAAAGTCCGAAACGAGATCGACTTTATCATGTCGACGAAAAAGCTAATATTCAATGATGTCTCTGTGATTAACGCCGTTAAAACGGGAAGTGATCACCGGTTAGTTCGAGGCACATTGAATATCAACATAAAGCTCGAAAGATCTCGAATGATGAAGTCGACGCTCCGACCAATACCTGCACAACTACAGAACCCCGAGAGCTTTCAACTCGAGCTTCAAAACCGCTTCGAATCCCTTGAGAACAGCCTAGATGTGGACGATCTAAACAACACGGTGGTAGATACTGTCCGTACGGTAGGGTCCAAGTATTTTAAAGCCCACCGTACCAAAATTAAGAAACTCACTGACAAAACTCTCCTACTCATGGAACAGCGGAACGAAATGAGACTACAGAATTCAGGAGATGCAAGTCAGTACCGGCAGCTAAATAGACAGATATCACAGTCCTTGACGAGCGATCTTCGCCGATTTAATACACATTGTATCAAAGAGGCTATCGAGCGCAACAAAGGCTCCAAAGTGTTCGCGAGAGATCTGTCTATTGGGCAAAGCCAATTGACAAAGCTGAAGACTGACAGCGGTAGCATCATTTCGTCTAAGGCTGAAATCCTGAGGGAGATTGAGAGTTTCTATGGACAGCTATATTCCACGCAAGCACCTGTTGAAAGCAAGGCTAGAGACCCCAGAGCCAAGCTTACTCGACACTACACTGAAGATATCCCGGACGTCAGCCTATATGAGATTAGTATGGCTCTCAAACAACTTAAAAACAACAAGGCGGCGGGCGATGATGGAATCACAGCAGAACTTCTGAGAGCGGGCGGTAAGCCGATACTTAAAGTCCTCCAGAGGCTTTTCAACTCCATCATCCTTGAAGGCAGAACGCCAAAAGCATGAGCCAGAAGTGGGGTTGTCCTGTTCTTCAAGAAAGGTGACAAAGCACTCTTGAAAAACTATCGACCAATCTCGCTTCTTAGCCATGTTTATAAGTTGTTTTCGAGAGTCATTACGAATCGTCTCGCACGCAGGTTTGACGACTTCCAACCTCCCGAACAAGCTGGTTTCCGCAAAGGCTTCAGTACCATAGACCACATTCATACGCTACGGCAGGTTATACAGAAGACCGAAGAGTATAATCTGCCATTTTGTTTGGCGTTCGTGGACTATGAGAAAGCTTTCGATTCGATTGAGACCTGGGCGGTGTTACAGTCTCTCCAAAGGTGCCAAGTAGACTACAGGTATGTCGAGGTATTAAGGTACTGTGACGTCCGAGACGTTGCAGCCTCCTTGTTTAAGTAAACTCTTTGCTTTTGCAATGCCTACGGTTGGCAGTTATATTAAAAAGTAAATGTCATGATTTTAATTTGAAATAAGGAATCGTCTGTCTTTTGATAGAAGGTT